GTAAAATACAGAACTGTAAAAAACCATGAGTCCAGAGGAATACAAATAAATAAATGAATGAAGGGAAATACATTCACTTGCCATCAGTGGAGGTGACAATTACAACAAATCATTAACCTGAAAATCGGTAATTAAAGGGCATTTGCCCTGCCTTTACAGGAAATAATATAGTTCATCTAACGTGGATGAGGAAAGCCCTTCTTTAAGAAGAATGCCAGTTAATAAACGTGAAAGGAATTTAAAATTAGGAAAATCACCATTTTGCCACTCCCATGAAATCATGACTCAGGAAAGGGTCATCAAGGGATGCCAAAAACATTAGATAAAATGTTGTTGGAAAAAAATATATATATATTTTCACACAGGCAAGTATCGTCTCTCAGATTGCTAACTAAAAAACAGAAAATGGAGTTTTACAATGGACAGCTCTGGCAGGGTTAGCACCTTAGCCAACTGATCGATCTTAGCATCTGAAAATCTGAAATTCTGTCCTGACATCACTGTATAAAGTGCTCTTGCCAAAAATGTTTAACCTGATGTAATTAAGCCTTTACATCTGTAGTGGATTGAATGTCCCCCCCAAACTCACTGAAGCTTGAATTGTGTCCCCCAGGTTTCATGTATTAGAAACTTGACCCCCACTGTGACTGTCGGGAGGGTAAGAAATCCTATTATGGTAATCGGAAGGCGGGGTCTTGAAGAGATGATTAGATTGCAGGACCATACCATAGTGAATGGGTTAATAATGGTGGTCAAGGGCGTGGTTCTGAGGGCTTTAAAATGAGAGCACATGAGGAGGTTAGTCTCTCTGCTCTGCCATTTTCTGCCATGTGAGACCCCTGGGTCACTGTCCCCACCACCAAGACTGTCCCAGATGTGTTCCCTGGACTTTGGACTTCCCAGCCTCCGAAACTGTAAGCAATAAATTTCATTTTCTTTATAAATCACCCAGTTCCGTGTATTTTGTTATAAGCATCAGAAATAGACTAGTACAACACCTAACTTCCAGTTTATGTGAAATATAGGAGAGAGAGGAATAAATTAAATAGCATCGTGAGAAAACAACTACACAAATCCAGATGTGGGACATTTAAGAAACTGGCCTGGTCTAAAAAAAAAAGAGTAAAAACTCTTTCAGACCAGAAGAAATGTTAACAAGTCATAACTGACAGATGCAACAAAGACCCTAGGAGCTTAAACTGGAACCAAAATGGGGGTAGGGGGTGAACTTTTTAGAGGTACTAAAGGAAATCTGAGGCTTACTGAGTATTAGATATATAGAAATTCTATTTCATTTTCTTGATGTGATAATGGTATTATTGTTACACGGGAGGAGCTGTTATTCCTGGGAGAAGCATGCTGAAGTGTTCTGGTCAAAAAGTCATTATGACTATAACTTTCAAATGGTTCTGCCAAAAAGTAAATACACACACACAAAGCAAATAAGAAAAAATATTAATGACTGTTAAATATGAGTGGTAGGTACACAGGGTTATATGTGGGTGACCTATACTTTTAATATTTCTATATGCTTGAAATTTTTCATAATAAAATGACAGAAAAAATTTAATAGGGTAGAAACTATACCTATTTCTGATTTTCCCAATATTAATTCCCAGTAAATATTCAATGTATCTCTATCTTTAAAGCAAAGTAAGTAGCCAATAGGGAAATTTTTGTCATTCAGCTATACCAAGTAAAAACATGGAAGGTGGTGTATGTGTGTGCATAACTGTTTATATAAACAGTATATAACATTTGGATTTACATACTTTTACCTGAAAGGGTTTCCAGGATTCAAGTGAATTCAAATCAAATCTTTACTGCATGCCTATGCTGAATAACAAAAGACATTAATATGATAACTATAGTACAAAATTTCAGTTGCTGCCTAATCCCTTAATCCCTGGCAATGTATTGGTAAATTAGAGTCGTCAGGTAGTATCGTGCCTGGAGAACATGGTCGTCAGCTCACTATTACATTTTGTATATATTTAGTTATAATTATTAATTTAAAGCAATCAGTATAATTTGATCATTAAATGAAACCTATGTGTCCAATTGCTAATCTGAAAAAAGTATAGTAAAGACATTATAGCTTTTAAATAGTAGAAACAGAGAAAATATTTTTTATTATACTTTTTTCAAATTAAAAAGTGGACCTATTAACTTTAAAGGTAATTTACCTGAAAACATATATAGCATATTGTTTAAAAATATATTTACTTTCTGTTTTGCAATTTTGCAGGCATCCTGTAGATTTGGGAACCATTCTATTAGATTCAGCAGTCAAACCCATACATTTCTTAGATCAAAAAAGCAGTGACAATTAGAAGTTAAACACTGACAATTACAAGTTAAAAAGATCAGCAAAGGAGACAGGGGTTACCATAAGAGAAAAGGAAAGCAAGTAAAAAAACACTGTAATGAAAGTAGTAAAAGATCATCTTAACATGTAAGGACTGGTCAACAGTGTCATATAATGCAGAAGATGAAGTCCAGAAAAAGGGCTAACAAAGACTGCTAATTATCTTCCAGTCTCCACTCTCTTCTTCTAAGTCACTCTCCCAAACTTTTAGCAAATGCCAAGAAATGGAAGGTTAACCAAACTGTTTTAAGAGAGCAAGTGAGAGGTTCTTCTCCAGACTAGAAAGAAAAAAGGATCATGAATCATATTTCCTTTGCTCACAACTGATTACCCAACATCTAGCATAAGGCCTGTCACGTATGTAATAAGCACTCAAATTCATATTTGCTGAATGAAGGAATGAATGAATAGTAACATTTCTATATACCTTTAGGGTAAAGCTAAAGGTATATAAGAAAACTTACACCCTCTATTGCTAAAAAACAGATGAAAAACTATATGTTGAGAAGAAATAGGAAGGAGGCATTGTGATCTTTAGGAAATAAAGATTTTAGGAAGTAAAATCATTGTAATTATGATTTCATATCCCTATTTTCATATATGCCAATCTTTGTAGTATTTTAATGTTACTAATTTAAAAAATAAGATTTATTTAAAAACAAAATGTAATAGCTATAGGACTTCAAAAAAACTGATCAAGGGCCGGCCCGGTGGCGCACTGCTACACTGCGCCACTTGGGAGCGTGGCTGCACTCCCGCTGAGGGTTCGGATCCCACATACAGACCGGCCGCTCACTGGCTGAGCAAGGT